TAACCAGCATTTTTCATCAATGGAATAATTAAAATAATAGAGTGCCCAAGTGCCATTAGCAAAGCGTGCTCGCAGGTAGAGCAGCATTTAGATTAATTTTCGGAATGGACGAGCCCTTTTTCCTCCATTGTTCTTCATTTTCTATTTCCATCGCCTCCCCCTGCCAGAAGCCTGTCGTTGCTGCGCTTTCAGACTGAACAAAAGGAAAACAGTGTCATCCCACAATACAATACTCAATTTGATATTGTCAGGACTCAACAATAGTGTGATGATGACTTGTTGCCAGGGTTATAGTTTTGGATTTTTCATGATAGTTAGTGATTAGTTTGTTTTAATGAGTTTTTAGAGCATGTTTGTTTATATTTTTTCGGGGGGTGGACGGTCGTTTTTAATAAAAACGAAACAAAACTCATAAAAACGTTTTGTTAATGTTAGTATTCGTTTGTTTGGGGGGGGGGGGGTTCTATACGGAGTGTTGGTCCAGCGCAAGATTAAAAGAAAAGATCACTAAGTATATTGTGTACTAAAGTACAATTCCCAAAGGACTGTTTGACAGTTTCTTCTCCAGTAATAGTGAAATAAAAAAAAAATTGAAATGAACACCAAAAGCTCATCTCTATTAATCGACAATGATGAAACAGAGGGACATTTTTGCTGTAGTTAAATAAGGATAGTTTCAGAAAGTTTTTTTTTTAAAGCATTCATTCATATTTGATTTAATTAATGAAAGAGTTCTTTCAGTTGGAGTTATTGTGTTAATTTTTGTCAACTATAATAACCTTGCTTGTCACCAGAACGACACTTTTGAAAAATATCTTATTGTCCTACGGCAACACCCACCAAATGTTATGGCGAATGACATTCGAGTCTGATTTCACATTGTTTTTTTCTCTCCTATTGCAATCGTTGAAACATCCCCCTTGTTCTCTTTGCGTGAATACTCCAATTTTTCTTCTGAGGAGCATGATCACAAGCACTACAAGGTGTAATCATAATGAGCATGTACAGGCTACTTTAAAGTGGTTAATAGCACGTCTCTCCCTTACAGGACTTAGGTTTGGATTTGAATCTCTGCTCCTGCCTTCCTGTATGACGTGTGCACGTTCTCCCCGTGCTTGCAATGGGGAGAACGTCCTCCCACATTTTGTTCATTTAGATGTGAATGGGCGTCTTTTTATCTGCCCCGCCTGTCTGTGGTATTCGGTCCTGAGCGTGCCACACCTCACTGGCGACCCCAATGAGAACCGCTTCATGACAAATGTTGACCGCATTACAACTACAAATCTCAATGGTTTTATGTCACCGAAACAGCCTTATAATTTAAGTACACGGAGGTTCAATTCTCCTGTCATCCTGCAAAAAAAAAATATATATATAGAATTGTGGAGAAGATCCTGCAGTTTGTGCATTTCTGATGTAATAATGGAGTGTAAAATTGAATTTGGCCTCAGGGGATTATTGTTGTTTTCTTCTTTTACAATTTCATGGCGTCTTGGAGCCTTTCAAGATTAGCAATAAGTAATTCCTCATATAGGATTTATTTTTGCTGGAAGAATAAGTGGAGTGATGTTATGACATAAAACAGCAACCTTAATTGGCTATTATCTTTTTGTTGAAAGTACTGCGGTGAAAGGTTAATCACCGTTAAATTGAAGCGCTGCGCTCTACAAATAGAAGATAAATGTAGCATATTTTCATTGTAGTGATGCTTGTGTCACATCACGTACAATGCATCCCCAGATTACAGTGCGAGGAAAACGGACCAGCCAGATGACCTCCTAACTACACAATCTAATGAGATCCAAAAATCAAAAGTTCCTCCCTAAAAAAAGATACTGTTTCACTTTGGATTGCCACTGTAATGATAGGTTGTCTTTTGCTCTCCTAGTCATAACATTTGAAATTGCAACCCCGGTAAACGATTACAGGTACAAGAGCTGATTAAGAATATACAATGTGCTGTTGCATGCTAACGTATTCTAGAATCTATTATGAATTACAGAGGCATTAGTCAGTGATGCTCAATCATCTAAAATGGAAGTATGTTGTGGCTGATTTCTGACAGAATCAGTCATGTCTGGAAGCCAGCAGGAGTTAGCACACACGTCTTACGGCGGGGGTGCCCACACTTTGTCAGCATGCGAACTACTTGTAAAATGGCCAAGATCAAATGATTCATCTACTTTATTTAGTCATGTATTTATTTGAAAATATACTTGGAATCCTTTATATGTAAAACATATATTGGTGTACCTGCATGGATCAAGTTTCAGTTATGCAAGGGACAACAATATATTGTTGTCCAGAGTAAAGAATATACACATATTTTTTAATACCGTATTTTCTGCACTATAAGGCGCTTCGGAGTACAAGGCGCACCTTCAATGAATGGCCTATTTTAAAACTGTTTCCTTATATAGGGTGCAAAGCATTACAAGGCACGTAAAATAGAAACTACAATAGTGGCTGTGGTTGCGTTATGCATCCGGTATATGTAGCAATGCTAAAGGGAATACAATACAATGCAATGCAGCTTTATTTATATAGAGCTTTCACAACCGCTGCAGCTGCAACAAAGCGCTTTATAGAACATTTAAAATACTACGGACAATAAATCAGAATATTGATGCACATATAAAGCACATCAGGTTATAAGGTGCATTGTCAGCCTTTGACAAAATTTAATGCTTTTAGGTGCGCCTTATAGTGCGGAAAATACGGTAAATAAAGTACGTAGATCATTAGACCTTGGCCATTTTATCAGTACCTTGCATGCGAAAAAAGTGTGGGCACCCCTGGTGTAAATTAGTTGACTACTTTGAAATTATGCATACAAGTGAAGGAAAACAAAAAGTATTGCTTTTTGTATTTATGGATGTTTCATAGAATTACTGCAACTCTCTACAGCAGGGGTGTCAAACTCACTTTTTTCGCGGGCCACTTTGGACTTACGTCTTCCCTTGGAGAGCCGTTACGACAGTGAACCCAAATAAATGTTTAATTGTCTCATTGTGTTATTACTTGTATACAACAAATCAAATGGATAGATTGCTAGTTTTTAAATCAGTCAATTCAACTGCAATAGTTTGTTCAATTATTGTTCAAGTGAGTCTAAACAGGGAAACAAAATTATTGCAAAATATCTGTTATTTATTACACATGAAATTTGACATTTAGGTCCAGATTTTAGCAAGGATCATGCAAAGCTGACATGCTTGATTTGCTTCCGCGGGCCACATAAAATGATGTGGCGGGCCGGATCTGGCCCCCGCGCCTTGAGTTTGACACCTGTGCTCTTTTAGTGTAGCGTTTTTGGTTCATTTTAAACTGCACACTAAGAGCAAAAAATGTCAAGGCCTTCAATTTAAGTCACTCCCTCTTGTACAAACATGTCAAAAATGCTGGTACAAGCTGCAAAGTTTCTTTTAAAATTGATTGTACTACCATTTTTAATTGGATTTGCATACACCTTAAATAATTCAAGGTGTAAGCTAATGATGCTTATAGAAGTGCAGGTGCAATATGGCGCGATATGCACAGGATCCGATCAGTCAACTAATTGCAACTACTGTCTGTGATTAGTCGACGAGCAAAATAATCTTTTGTGGCAGCCCTCCTGCACAAACACATGGCATGTCTGTTTTGGGTTTTTTTTGCACTGCCTCCTCAAAATAGCTTCTCAGGGCCTGGGCAGGGGTTCGTTATCTGCTCATGAAGGCTTGGACTGAAGGGATTGCTTTCAACTTTGACTTGTCTTTAGATGCTCCTTTGTAAAACAGCTGCTTCTCGTTTAATTGCTGCGATTCATTCAAGAATGGCCTATATCTCCCAGCTGCATTGTTTTAGCCCCACTACAACAGCGGGAGGCCAAGGTCTGGAATGTTGGCTGCACTTATGAAACACAAGTTTACAAATCTCAAAATCTAGACGACATCATGCTACAGTAGCAAATGTTGAAACATATTAGTTGGCAAAGGAACAAGACTTTGTGTCTGGGAGAATAGAGGAGTACACATCTGCTTGAGGTTTGTTCTATTCCGGACCATCTGCACTAAGAGGCCCTTCATAATGTGAACAGAAGACAAAGCAAATGCCTTCTGTGTCAACACAACCTCGATCCCCCCTGCAATCGGAAAACAAATAAACACAGGCTTACTCTGGGCAGCCCAGGCCAATCCACTCAGGAATTTCAAATACTACTGAATTTATTTTCCAGGAGGCCTTTGGAGTAAGCTATGCAATCAGAGAGGTCAGTTCTACTGAAAAAGTAAAACAACACAAAAAAACCCCCCCAAAATATTAGGTCATGAATGTTTTCAGGGAAACTGGTCATATTTGAAATGTCTTACCTTTCCTATTTTCACTGGCTGCCTGCCTTTTTCTGAAACGTGGACACGCAGACACAAATATCTTTTCGCTCCATTTCATTTTGGACTGATGGGTGTTGGGCCCCTGCCATGGGGCCAGCAGACACACTTGTTTATTTTTCCCATACCCACTTTAAATCCGAGGTTTTCACCCTTTCTGAAGAGCTCTGTTTGTTCCTAGCCAGGAGGACACAAAGGTAGGAAAACAGGAACACGTCATCACTGACATCAGAACAAAAACAAACGAGGCGATCCAAGCCCCACACGTCTTTCTCATGTGGCTTTAGGGAGCCTGCCAGCCAAATTTAACAGGGATTTATGAAGGGAAAAAAAGCCCCTATTTAGCATAATGAATATTTAATCTAGCGTAGAACCAGCAAAGCAATTCTGCAGAAATAATTGAGAGCAGACTCTTTCAAAGCTTGGGAAAAAAAAAAAAGCAAAGGAAAAAAAATGCCCACTAAACCGTTGACCCAAAGGAGCCCCTCCCCCCCAAAAAACCCTCAGACAATTAATTACATTTAAACTGCTGGCATACGCTTTGTTAAATGAGGTTAGCCACCTGCGCTACATTCAATTGGTGCTAAATCTGCTGATTAATTTACGTTTAGAGAACACCCATACATACCACACCTGCGCTTATTAAGCGGCGTCATCCCACCTCTCATCCTCATCCTCTCCATTTGACACCCTCAATGTTGACTCTGCGGGTCCTGAAGAACTCTAAAAAGTGACAGAGAAATAACAAACAAAGATCAGTTTATCCGTCATCCATCCAACTTGCACAAAAAAGAGGGAAAAAGGAGCGACCTCAGCAGGTTAAACTCTTCACTCTTGCAAAATAAAACAGGTTATCTTTTTGGTGAATCCTTGCTAGCCTTAATAAATCAGCTTACGGCGCAGCCTAATGGCTCCATTCGCTTCACAAATCTCTGCAATGCAATAACATGCGCCAACGCGCGCCGATTAATTTAATAAGTCTTTAATATTCTTCATGAAAAAGAACCAACGACCAGAGAGGCCAGAGCATATGGGGTGGCGAGGGAGGGAGGGAAGGTGGGAAGGGTGCTATCTGTGGAAAAGGATATTGCAGCAGCAACAGATTGAATATTACATAATGATGTCATTTATATTCCATTCGAAGTGCTGGCCTCCCAGACCTCGCCTCATACAGGACTGGGGATTTGTCTGCAAGATGACAGGGGAGAAGAAGTTCTCGTGCAGTCAGTGGATCTTAAAAAGGACGAGTTCATCATGCACATAGACAGCGGGTTATATTGGAATGATCATCGTGTTACATTTGAGAATTTCATTAAATGATCACTGATGCCAAAAGTGTTGTTATGGTTATGTCATATTTCCATATTGTCTTTGCAATTTGTTTCATCCATTCTGAATAACACTGGACGGATATAATTAATGGAGTGTACAATTAGGGGAGCCCTTGGCTTGTTGTCACAGTACAATTATCTTCTCGGCCAGAGGGCGCAACTAAAATGTTAAATGCTCGTTTTCCTCCTTTATGTGGTCAGAAGTTATGTCCTCTCCAGAAAGATGAGAGCCAATAAACCATTTTACTCGACACAAAGTACAAAGAAAAAAAAAGTTATATATATTTGGAAACAAGTGTCTTCCAGATAAAAATGCTAGCAGTAAGACCTGTGGACTTGTTAGAGCACAATTCAGACATATGTTCATACCTCGGTCATTGTTCTGTTTGAAACTACCGGTAACTTTAAACTTAGTATAACTCTTTCAAATTAGAAAAAAAAAAAAGAACAGAAATAATGTTGTCTTTTTTTTTATTAATTGTAAAATACAGCATGACATCTTATCCCACATAGTGAGCCACGTTATGTCGGGGCAACATGTCACATGTTCACATTCTTTGATTGCTGAAAGCTCTGCACTGACACAAAATATGAACGTGATACAAAATACACCTGAGACTGTTCTTTCATCATGTACGCACCGTGTCGCCACCTTGATTTTGATTTGCATTGCATTAATGCATTGTATTTCATTGCATGCAATGGTGTGAAAATGGGGTCGCAGTACGCCGAGGAGTTCTCTGTGAAAACAGCTTCTGCCGACACAACTATGAGAATTTGCTCCGTTGTCAGCCTGTGCTGTACACATTGTCTTGTTTGGAGGTTTTTGAGGGGCGCGAGAAGCAGGCCACAGCGCACCCATGTGGCAGCAGATGCTATTGCAGGCAGTTGTGTAGGGTGAGTGGCGCCTTGTGAATGCCATTTCAAGATGCAATTGTCAAATAAAATATGTACAGTGAAAAAGCAGGGCCTCGCGGGGGGGTTGATTGTATGCTAAATATTGAAGTCATGATATAGTTATTGCAAGGAAATTATTTGAAAACAAATATACCACGTGGGCTTTTTATTGTGGTCTATTTAAAATGGCACTTTTACTCGCTTCAAAATGTGACCAATAAAAAATAATGCGAGTTAAATTGCGTGTCATATTCAAATGTAAATAACGTTTTTCTTTTGATACCAACTGCAAAAGTAAAGCGATTGGCTTCAGTGTTCCATTATTTTTGGAGGAAGGTCCATGGCTTGGTCTTGTGTTCAGCTTCTCTCAAAGGATCATGGGAGGTGACTGCCCATCAATAAAGATTTGTTTGCCTATCAGGTGACGGTTGTTTGTAGAGGAAGTTTAAACGTTAAAAGGTCAGTGTGAACCTGTTAAAAGCACTCAACAAAGAATGACATTACAGTTGTTATTAATGTGTGTATTTAAGCTATGTACACTCGTGCTTTGTGTGTATGAAGGGAGTGTGAAAGGCTTTTAGTAAGATCAACATGCAAAGCAAGCAAACAAGCTCAACAGTGGCTCTCAAGATGTTATAGCTCTACTTGCTTTCGGCTGGGAAAGAAACAGCACAAGCTTTGTCTCAATCTGCTTTCACGAGCGCAGACGAACGTGCATCACCGGACAGCATCAGTCCACTTGAACAATCTTGCGATATGCAAAACAAGAGCTGCATCGATTAATCTGCCTTTACAAAGATTATGCACATTTTTAGTTGGCACTGGCAGCACTATGGAGGGAATTGCATTTCGGTACAGGGTGTCCATTAAGTGGTTTACATGGTTTAAAAAAAGAAAACAAAACAAAACGATTGTATTCAAATTATAAGTATGATAAATAATGGCAGACATGATTTCAGGTCTGTATTGCCATCGATTTCAGCACATTGACTGGTGATGCATTCTCTCATGGCAATTTGGATCTGGAATCATCATCGAGTACACGTTCTCTTTGAGCATACCCCAGAAAAAGAAGTCAAGGGGAGAAAGCTCTGGTGGACGTGAACTCCGCTATGAGTTCCAGACTTCGTGGACACCCTGTCCATTCTATGAAGAGGTGGTATGAATATTTACAGCCCATGACAAGGTAAAATTCTTGCTGCTGCAGTCTAGTCCTTGACCACTGCAAACTGTACACGAGTGCGGAGCCTCCAAAGTAGAACACAAACCATTTAGCGCACCCCTCGACCACCAATTTCTTTGAATTTAGGTGGCATTATTCTCATGGAATCTAGAAATTAACTTTTTTTTAAAAAACATATTTAACAGCCACACAAGTGTAAAAAGAAGTTAACCATGAAATTAAAAATAGAAAACAACTTTCTTCGACATTGAGGGGATTTCACCTCTTGTTTTCTCCACCCTTTTCCTGCTCTCCCTTGACAAGTCTGACTCTGCTTGACTCTACACCTGCTTGAATCGAGGGATTGCCAGGCATGCAGGGAAACGTAATATCTGGTTTACTGGCTGTTTTGGTGTGTGGCACCGGTTTCTGATGGGGCATGAAGTGTCCTTCCGCCACACATCCCCTTGTGATGCCACAGAGTGTAAAGCACTCGTTCTGACTGTGAACATACACAAATACATACAAAAAGACCCACACATACTGCTGTCCAAACAGTGTTTATTGACTGAAGGAGACGAGAGCAAGAGATTCAAATAAGTGAGGGCTCATGAGAAACAGGCCGCCACACACCTTTAAAGACAATGGAGAAGTCATTTAGTGGAAATAACTTAACTCAATGCACTTTAAATGGAAAAGAAGGTATAGCTCTGATGCTGTGAGAGACCTAGATATAATTATTTTTAAAAATGTTATGTATTGTATTGACCTTCACCATATACAAAAGTCATCACAAATGCCGTTCTTAGATTCAAAAATGCAGTAAACAAAACAAAAACAACAAAAAATAACATGTTTTCGACTTATACCGAGTTCGAAAGCAAACACTGGGCGACAGATTGGCTTGAGGCCTGTTTAAAAAGTCATTAGTGTGTGTTTGAGTTAAAGGAGGCCTCTAATAAAGTGGGGCCGTCATGTGCTATTTGCTCATGTGTTACGTGGAGGTTTATTAGTTAAACAGGCAGAAAGGAAGGGTCAATATTTTCACAAGCAGCAGAGGGCTGACATGGCCTGATGAAGCGATTTCCCCACATTCTTATCAATCGCAAAAGTCTACAACGTAGGACGGAAGTGCTGTGGACAACAAACGAACACCAAAGATTAGTTTCCTTTTTCCGTCAAAAGAGCAGTTATGATGAGTGGTGCAGTTAATCATCTAAGAGTCCACTGAGCTTTGCTTTTACGTGTACCTGGCAAAAAAAAAAAAAAAAAAAAGCACACACACATTTGTGTGTGTTTATATATATATATATATATATATATATAAACGTGTGCTTTTCTTTTACGTGCACACACACACACACGCGACCCTTGTGAGAATAAAGCGGATCGGAAAATGGATGGATGGAGTGTGTGTGTGTGTATATGTACACACACACACACTTAGGGATATTGGGTTTTCAGGTGAAATTTATGGAAAGTAAAATAAAATAAATTCACACTACAGTGATATCATATCATGAAAGTAGGACATTTAAGTCGAAGGATGCACTGATTTCCTCATCTCAAACAATTCACTGAAACAAAAGTTACCAACCCATGGTGGATACACCACAACTAAAAATGTCAACGTCTCAATAACCCGTCATGTGCTTTTGAGCATCAATTAGAGCTTGACGACGGCGTCTCATGCTATTCACAAGTCGACTTGTCTGCTGAGGCATGGCATCCAACTCTTCTTGAAGGGCAGCCCAGGTCATTGAAGTTCTGGGGAGCAGTGTCAAGTCTCGACATGGCAACTCAGCTGATCCCACAGGTTTTCAATAAGAATCAGGTCTGGAAAAAGTGCAGGCCATTCTATTTGAGGTACACCAGTCTCCAACAGCCGTTCCTTGATAATGCGACCTCAATGAGCTGAGGCATTGTCGTCCATAAAGATGAAATTAAGCCCATGTTGTTCATGATGGGGCACAATCACTGGAATTATGTTCTTCAGGTAATATGGGCCTGTCACTGTACAGTTCACAAAGTGTTCCGTACTGACTGGACTCACCTGCCCCCACTGTAACACCGCCGCCACGTAAAGCTCATCTGATGAGAACAATGGCTGATGCATAGTGCTCTCCTTGACATCCAACATCGTTGCAGGGGCCATCATTTCTGCTCCACGTGAATCGACTTTCATTAGAGAACATCACTGAGGCCCACTAGTCCAGCGTAAATGCTCAGTGGCCCATGCAAGACGATGACACCGGTACCTGGTGGTGTGGTCAGGTACCCTTGCAGGTCATCTAGCGCGCAGACTACGCTGATGTAAATGGTTTCGAATCATCTGGCGTGACACTTGGGTGCCTCTCACTTCCCTCAAACGTGCCTGGAGTTGAGTGGCATTCATCATCCGGTTTCTCAAGGAATTATTCACAAGACTTAAAAGGATGCTCCACTAATGTGGTTTAATAAATCACAAACAGGCCACCTCAGAATAAATACATTTAATGCCACCAAAAAGAGCAGTGTGCCTTATAATGTATTTTCCTGAACAGAATCGGGAAAAAAAAGCATCATTCCACTGATTTACAGAATGTCAAGTTCAACAAAATACACTTCACTATATACACAGTTGATGCTGGTCACACAATTTTATGACCACAATATTTAACAAGTCTTGACATTTAAAAACGAGAAAAACTCATTTTAACCAATATACATTTGTGTGGCAGTGAGTTTTAAAGTTCATATATTTGATAAAAAATACACCACAAAAACTAAGTTCTAAATCCAGCACATTGTGATGATATATCTGAATGTCATTTTTTTGTTGTGCACTGTAATTACACTCAAAAATGTCACTAAACTGTAAAAAACAAAAAAATGTTTCTTCATGTTCCAGTAGGCCAACAGGTACTATACCATGTTGCTACTCAGATAAAAAAAAAATCACTGTGGTTTCCTTCGTCTACAGGGGCAAAAAAAAAAAAGAGATATAATCAGAAATCAAGTAAATATACAATAACGTAAGATGACAATCAAAAATAATAGACCCATTTCCATTGTATGTCATCAAAAGCTGGGCGTTCAGGCTCAAAAACGACAGAAGACGTGCGTGCCTGCGAAGATTTGTTTTTTTTTTTTTTTGTTGTTGTTTTTTAGGATGGAGTTGTTTTAGTTTTTGAATTGTTTCGTACAACGTCAACATGCTTTACTGTGTGTGTGCGAATCGGAGTAGAAAGTGGTTTAAAAAAAACTGGAGCAGCCTGTGGCTGCAAACTGTGAAATACACAGACTGGCTCGAGGACATAATCAGGACTGCTCACATTCCCTTTGATATAACATAGCAAGCAACAAAACAAACTAGCTGGCTATGTTACTACCCTGCCACGCAAGTAGAGTTAGCTGTGAGAATGTAGTTCTCTTTTCGGTTGACGATGGCTCAAGCGGGGCACGCAGTTTTTTTTTTCTAGTGCACACACTAGGTTTCTCCACTAAATAAAAATGAGTATCTGGCCATTGGACATCGGGCCACTTTGTAACACCTTCCTCCCACTCTGTAATCCCATAAGGATCAGTAAATTGCTTTCCATCTGGTAAAATTCGTTAGTCATCTTGTGTACATATATTTCTGCGCCAACAATGCGCGCGCATGCCGATTACATCTTTGCTTCCAAACTGAAAATGGGTCTATAGTTATAGTGGTAACAAAGACAGAAAATGCTGTACACACTTTTGATGCCCAACGGCAGAGCTTGTGCTTGCAACGGGAGCCTGTGAAGGACAAGATAGCAAGGACATACAATCATTGCGTGTAAACCACCATCCAGGGCCCTGTGCAAAACTTCACTGATGTGAGAAAAAAAAAAAATAATAACAATAATGTGTGTGTGTGTATATATATATATATATATATATATAATACTGTATTAAAGAATGTATCTAAATCTGATCTATGTGCATTTTGCGAGGGTGTGTGGGTAATACAGTCTAATGAGGAATTCAACATTTGGTTTACTGTGCCCTCTGCTGTTTCATTTAAGAATTGCATTGAGTAGCGCAGTGAGAAGTCATGTGATCAGGGGGTCCTCAGTCAGTTTAATAGACAACTGCTTCCTGTGTCCAAGCACAATTTCCCACAAGATGCAACACTTTCTTCAAGGTTCTCCTAAATTTGGGCTCAGAAGGCCAAACAGTTTGTGACCATGTGTATTTTGTGATAAGTGATTAGTGTTATACTGTATTTCAAAATTGATATTGATAGCGACTCTGGTTTATGGCTAGCCAAATAAGAGGAAGTCATTGAACAGTTGTTGACCCGTCAATTCTGTCTGAACTCAAAGAAAACATTTGAGGAGCCGTTATAGCTTCTAAGCCATATTTCAGCAGGTGATTGGGAGTCGGTACTAAACCACATCTAGGATTTTAGATCGCCACACAGTTCTTTAATTTCATCCATATTTTTTCCCAGTAAGATACCCCAGTCTGTGTATTTCCTTCTGAGTAGTGCGTGAACATAATATGATAGCTGACTATGAGAGGTGTTCCGATCAGGGTTTTATGCTGAATTGCGATACCAATTTTCAATGCCGATACAGCTCACATGGATTAGCTGCACTTTTTTCTTTTAATGTAGAGCTGCTCACTTACAATTTGAATAATCGCTTCTTTTTTTTTTTTTTTTTTAATTGATGAATGTTATTTTTTTGTAATCCAAATTTCCGTTGCAGTATTAAAGAAAGGTTACGGGGTTGTTACATTGCACACACGCTGTGCTTTAGTTCAGGGGTCCCCAACCGCCGGGCCGCGGACCGGTACCGGTCCGCAGGGCATTTGGTACCGGGCCGCACAGAAAGAACTTGCCTTTTTTCCGTTTTATTAATTTCGGAATGCGAAATATGTTTTATTTTGAAAAATTACCGGATTCTCTGTTACATCCGTCTGTGTCACGCTTGACTCACGTCAAGGCACACTTCTCGGTCAGGTGACCGATGACGCTCATAAACAAAACGCTGAAGCCTGCAAAATTTGTAAAAAAGCTGCTTGGAGATCGCAAATGACGGCGGCCTTAAAAGTACGTTCGAAACAACTGGATCAAAGTTATGGCTGAATACTCTGAGATCGCCACAATAGCACTGTTGCTATTTCCGACATCCTACCTGTGTGAGGTGGGGAGTTTCTGCAGCAACAGCGACTAAAACAAAATTACAAAGTAGACTGGACATAAACCACACACTTGAGGTGTCATTGTCTCCTATTACCCCGAGATGGGACTGTCTGATTGCAGAAAATCAAGCTCTGGGCTGTGGTGAGTCGTCATTTTCATGCACTTTGAATTTGCGTTGTATCGTATTTTGAAGGCATTAAACATTACCAGAGCGATAAGAGTGCTGCGACCAGATTAGACGCTCCTTGTGTTTATTATTATATTTCGAAAACAAAACAGTTTTCATGCAGCTCATACCATATTATTTTGTTGTATTAATCCGCCACACCTTAAATGCCGGTCCCTGAAAATATTGTCTGACTTAAACCGGTCCGTGGGGCAAAAAAGGTTGGGGACCCCTGCTTTAGTTGACTGCAGGCTAATGTGATCGGCAATGAAAGGCATTGATGGACGAAGGTCGATCATGAGTTTTTTTTTTCTTAAAAATTGGATTAAATTAAAAAAGGATTCCCTAAACAGTGTTCTGAAAAAAGAAAATTGACCATACCCAGTTTTCTTGGTCCTCCACGTTGTCTGGTGTTTCTGCAGAGCCTGATCTCCTCTTGCGACTGCAACAAGACAACATTTGGGTCATATCAAGTTTTCACAGCTGAAATTGTTGGAATGGTTATTATACTACAGCAAGGTAAATTATATGAACAAAACGTTTTATTTATTTATTTTTGAAATGCTACACAACATTAAACTATTGTCTGCACCTGGGTAAAACTGCTTCCTGCACATCTACAATTGCCGCTCGATAGCAAAGTTTCAAACGGGATAAATAATGCACAAGAATTTCCGGACTATTAAGCGTACCTGGATATAAACCTGCACCCACTAAATTTCAAAAAGAAAACAAAGTGGACATACTGGGCATATTCCGCACTATATCTTGGACCTGCGATTTTTCAGATATATTTCAATTACGATTAAATTCACGACTTTTTTCAAATCAATTCACGATGTATAGTGACATTTCAGATATGACAGAATTTGACATAATACCATGAAAACTTTAAAAGCTGTTATTTTTGTTCAACCCCACCGGAGCCGCTCCCAAGCCCATCACGTGAGAGGGCTTAGTCTCCTACATCGGGCTACACCTTTCTCATTCGAGGGCTATGTCTTGGGGATGTTGACCCCAGTTGTATTCCAAGGCAAAAAGTGGCAATAGTAGTGAAAAAAACAAACACTAGTAAGCAGTGTTATTATCATTATAGTTAGGTTTTTTTTTTCATTTTAATTTTATTGTGTGTCTTTAGCTTTGATTAGTTTTCGGGGCAACTTGGTTAGTTTTTAGATTAGTTTTTTTTTTAATTGAGTATGACCTGTGTGCATGATTTATGAAAAACCCACAATGTTGATTTAATATTAAAAAAACATAACGTACATCCAAAAATGAAATACCGTACAGGTACTAGGTATAGTCGACAGCATGGGTCACCAACGCGGTGCCCGCGGGCACCAGGTAGCCCTCGAGGCGCACATGAGTGGCCTGTGGGCCTGTTCTAAAAATAACTCACTCATGATGGGACAATGCGATTTTCTAGTCATGTTGTAAAAGTAAGAATTTGAAAATGTAAACACTGGCAGAGATTTCTAGAAATAAAGTGCCACATTTTGATATTGGCCCTGAAAGGTGGCATCAAAGATTTCGAATATATGCGCAAAGATCTTTTCATAATGTCTTGTTACATGTATGACAGTCACCTTAAAGTTACTTAAAATATTGCGTAGCGTTTGTTGACGGCATGGTGCATCGCAGTTAAGATGCGTCACAGAACAGACTGCGTTTTATTTTGGAGGTTCAACTGAAAGACAAGGGTACCTTGGTGCACTTGGGCACTCCTGCCTTAGCATCTCAACATCTGTGAATTCGACAGCCTGGCCACCACTTCTGGTTCGAAAAACATTGCCCTGTGGGGGAAAGACAGAGAATGGCAGGATAAAATGACAGCAAAGAAGAAAATCCAACACAAATTGTGTTCTTTTAATACCTGCAATAACCAATCTCTGAAATCAAATCAAATAGGTCAAATCAGTAAGTGATCCATCATCTTTTTACCTTGATCAACTTTGTCGCAATCTCCCCGTCAGAGGCAAGCTCTTGATGCCTAAGCACATACTTGTGGCATTTAGACAGAGCTTTCTCACTCGGGGAAGACACTTGGATTGCATTGGGTATGATTGGCTGCATGACAGTGCCAAGGTCGACATTGGAAGATGGCTTGTGGTCTACCCATTTCTCCCCACCTGCAGAGTGTGAACGTCTGTGCACTGGATTAATTTCCCGAGCCGGCTGATGATCCCAGTGTGAAAGAGAAAAACCAGGAAATTATTCAGATTTGTGAAAATTCAACTTGGATTTTTTTTTTAATCATCAACAGAGTGGGTTGTTCAGGTGCTGCGAGAGTAAATGTATAACTGGAAGTCATGGCTGAGGGGGTTGTTTCTTTTGATGTATTCACTGTTGAGTACGGTGCATCGGGTACCATACAAATTAACTGATAACAAAATGTTCACTTCCCAACAGCATCCGCCACTGGGATGATATTAAGTGAAGAGTAGGGGAAAATATATAGAGTAGGGGGAAAAAAAAGGAACATATTTGGTGACTGTTCCAGCAATACACTTATTCAACACTGCATCTGAAAACAGCCACTGCGAGAATAGCAGACCGGTAGTTTGTGAGTTGTCATGCAAAGACAAAAGAAAGAGAAACTGCATGCAAATTTAAAAATGAAGTGTTTGATCACAATGAGTACAATTTAAATTGAATTTGTATAGTATTGCACATTTACACATGAATAATGTCAAGCGATTTCAAAAGTCCAAACAGCCCGCTGAGGAAAGAAGTCTACAAGCAAAATAGAGTAGAACGTAACTACTCATAAAAGGCACTACCTGGGAAAGTCTACATTATTGACATCCAGGCTACACTTGAACCACATAGCGTCTCTGCATGTCACACTGATACAAAGCCACTTAGAGATGCAATTCGAGACTTGCGGATGCTTATACGCATGATGGCTGCCAATGCAAAAATAAGAAATCACGTCACAAGCACATCTAGGTGACTAGCACACACTAACCCTGATGCCTGCCTCTAGGTCAAGTCCATGGACCAGACGCGTCGCAGGGGCCTCGGTTTCTGAGATGAAGCGTTGGCCTTTCCTGCGATTTGCTCTGCCGGCGTCATGGCACATGGCGGGAGTCCGGCTCCTGCACTGAGGGGTCCCCGCTTCTCTATACTGGGAGGCTGAGTCTACAGGGCACCTTTGCTCCCACTCAAAGATGGAGGTTGCTACTGAAGGATAAGATGAAGTGGAGGTGGGGGAATTGTCCTGAACTGCCCTACTCTGAGCTTGACTTTGATGGGAAGGAGTTTGTCGGAAATCCTGAAAAGTAATGAGGGAACGAGCCCACAGCATTGTGTGCATTAAGATAGTGAGAAATAAGCAATGTCACATACAGTATAAAAGCAGCAGCCATTAGAAGTCTGCAAAATGGATCAATTACACACCAAAAACGGGTCTTGATGTTCTGATTCATGCATGCACACACACACACACACACACACAACAACAAATGCAGACAGTTTCCGAGATGTTCCGACAAATACTACACACACGGTATGCGGAGTACGAGCGTGTAAGAACTGAATGTTTAGCGAATATCAAACACCTGGCAAACTTATCTGATAAAGCAGTGCACGTGTTAGTGGTATTAGTGATGTCTCGCCAACGGAACAGTGCCTGTTTGCTCAACTTGGTGTGGATTTCATGACATCTTGCCTTGCTGAACTTTATTTAACTCTTCTTGAGTCAAAAAGTCAAGTAATCCTTTTTATGGTTCGTGATGGAACACAAGTGTATCGATCTCTATGAGGACCGCTTTTTGAAAAATCTTTTTTTTTTTTTTTTTTTTAACCGACATCAATATTGACAAACTCCCTATACAGGCTAGGGACGTGGGCTCATCCATATTTGAAACGTGTTCCCCCGGCTGCTGCGACGGAGTCACATGACTGAATCCTGCAGACTGATTGGCAGAATGAAGACATATCGCTTCCCGTTCCTTTGCACACCGATTCATCAAATGAGGATTTCATCACTTCCTCCTGATTTGCAGCCAGTCAGTGGACCGGTTCATTTTTGGCCAGGTCCATTTTGGAGACAGTATTATTAATCAATAACGCAAAAAAAAAAAAATAATAATAATAATAAAAATTAATCAAGGGTGATATCTATTCCCCCATCTCTTATACAAAGTTTTATTTTTGTTGATTTGAATGAACTGTCGTCACTTACTGGAAGCGGTGATGGCGAAGCAGACCTCTTCTGTCCATAATGGCGATCTCGGTCCCTTGAGGGCCTTTCTGGTTTCTGTGGTCTGTCTGCGCTGCTACTGCTGCTGCTCTCGGAAACGATCGCTTTGAGCTGCTTCAGCTTCTCATCTTTGACCCACAACTTGTTTTGCATCTCAAGCTGTTTAGCATTCACCCGTCTTTCCTGGACAAGCAAAGTGTGAAACCTCTCAAAGGACGGTAGCATAAGGTAAATACAATCATTGTGTTGCATCTTGTCAATAGAGGGGTGAAAAAAAATCCACCATGAACCATTATTCATATTCTATCCACAAGAAACAAAAGATTATTTTTCAAATATCAGGGCTTTTACTGCTAATTCCACTCACACACTCCTTCTCCCACTTGAGTTTGGTGTCTGTGACCATGCCCTGCATGCGCTGCTCCATTCGCCTCCTTTCCACCAGTTCCTGCTGGAGCTTTTGAGCACGAGCCTCCAGCTCCCGCTCGAGTGAATGTTTGTCGTTCTCATACATGTTGGTTGTCTTTTGCAGAATATCAATCTGGATAGCGTAAACATGAGAACAAATGAGCCAACACTGAAAGAGATTTACAACAGGTCTTTTAGCCATGACTTGACTGATGCATGTCCAAGGATGTTTATGCCTTTCTGTAACTCTTCCTGTCCTTCAGCATCTCTGCTGCAATCTGCTGATGACGCTGTGTGAGACTCGGCTCAATGGCAACTTCTCTCTGAGAATATCCTGTTTAAAGACTTGCAATGGTGAAGTACTGATGATCCATTGTTGGGTGCCATCTTTGTTCTATGATGTCAAAATGGTCAATTCAGGAATCAAACACCTGTTATGAGTTGTATTGATCAGCTCAGAGAGAACAATTTGTGCAGAAACTCCTGAAACACTGACAGTTGCAGATTTTCAAGTTTAGAGAAGGTCAAATTAAGTTAACCTGTCAACTTGATATTGAATTCTAGGTTCATCCTGAAATTGCAGCCGACAGCCCTTTCTCTAACTTTTTGTGAGTACTGTAAGTGCATGTCTTTTCTGAAATCAGTAAAGACAAATGGCCGATGTAGATCATGTTTGGTGTTTTGTGTAAAAAAAAAAAAAAAAAAAAAAAAAAAAAAAAAAAAAAATTATGATGACATGGTGACAGTAAAATCGTCACAAAATCTGAGGAAAATACGGACGAGCAAAACGAAGCGCTCCGGTGTTTTGGATTACTCGGCCAATCAGGTACCTGTATGCACTATACAATTAACCGATTGGCTGCCTCACCCAACTAAGAAATACACCACACCACAAGAAATACACTGATGATTGGCTGACTGGCCCACGAGTTCAGTCAGGATGTAAAATAAAAGAGAGCTGTGTCCACTCACTGGTCTGTGAAAGGGGCATACATTAATCTCCCAATTTAAAAAAAATAGGGAGACCAACTAAGCCTGACATCCCTGAGCTATTAGTATAAAACAATTTTTGAAGGAAAAGCAGGGTTTGCCTGATGAAAATGTAATTTCAGCCCAGAGTAGAATTATTAGGAAAAAATTTAGCTACTGAGCGCTGCTGTAGAAGATACCTTATATTCCAGGGTCTTGGATTTTTTTTCTAGCCGTTCGATCTCTGTTTTTTGGTTGGTGATAACTTTGTCCCTCTCGCACAGTTTGCTTTGCTGGTCTTGGATTAAGTTCTCCTTCACGCCAAGCTGACCATCAAACTGCTGAACCACGGAATTGAGCATGTTGGCTGCACAAGAAAGCACAATGTGAGCTATTAAGAAACTATGCTTTAAATGAATTTAAATGCTGCCTTGTGGTTAAAAAACAAAAAAAATACTGACAAAATGGTTGAATATAAAACCTCAAGTCAGAAATGTTATTCAGTTCCCTCCATTATCATTCAATGCTGGTTAAATATTGTACCAGTTTTGTTGAACTGCTCTGCCATCAGCTGGCGGATACGATGCCTCCTCTCCAGAACCTCAATCAGGCGTGGTAACGTCTGATCGTCTCCCGGGTCCACCAACTCACATGGCGGCAGAGGTGGAAAGCTTTCAATGAGTTGATTGAGCAGAGCTGGATCATCTACTGCAGAAAACGTGAAAATGTCAAATCGGGACATTGGTCAGGAGATATTGGCAAAGTCTACATACACATGGCACAACAAGACAGTGCTAGTTAGGTAGACTCACTTATTATTTAGCAATAGGGCTTGACGATTTGGGAAAATAATCCAACTGTGATTACTTTTCTCAACATTGCGATCTTGATTTAATAAGCAATTACTTTCTTCAAGGTCCTCTTACCGACCATGTACTTTTTAATAAACACAAGCAATAAATTAACCAGTAAGACAAACTATATCAGATTTGTTACAAATAAATGTTTTGTTCTCGTAGGTTAGGCTTACCTTGTAACACAGTAAAATGAAGCAATTAATATGAAAGACAGTTTCCTTTCGAGTTGTTTAATATACATACCGTATATATAAAAAGGCTACTGACCGAAATTGAAGCTCAGTTTACTTCACCCACGCACACACCCAAGCCCCCACCTCCCTCCAACCACACACACAAGCACACACCACAATACCACTGGCATTGCACAGTTCAGCCCTACTTACAAGCATTACCGGGAGCACCTCGATCAGCCAGACGACGTGACAGCTCATCTCTGAATGCCTGATTTTTTTGCCTACGTCCAGCCGCAAGACCGCAGATTGGCCTGTCAACCGGCCGTGCAACTTCCACCTCTTGTGTCATCTCTGCAAACCGCATTACGAGCTGCGGCGCCAAAGACAATGATTACAAAACTTATGATGTAATAAAGTTGAACTGATCTGACAGCGGAACAATTTTTGAGGCTGATGCAGATCATTTGAGGGTCAGGTTGGAAAAGCCAAGTTGAAACAAGGGTAATATTCTCATTCAAAGACATCAGTGAAAAGTCTATCCAATTGCCATTGATATTAAGTACAGTCATTCTTTTGCGTTGCTTCAATGGCAATTAGCAAGACTACCAACATTTGGAACATGCATTACCATGGTTTCCTCATAATCATCGGCTTTTGGATTGACACACACGATCATCTTAACTTTGCCCTCTCCATCAAAGTAGTTCTTAAAAAGATGAGTCACTTTAGAGTCCCTGTATGGCACCATCTGGAGAAGGAGGGAAACGCAAAAGTGGGAAAAAAAAAACAACAAACTATGAGAGTATGCAGTCTCAGTTACTCTCATAAGCAGCAAAACGACTGGTGAAACAGTACACACAAATAGTAGAGGACACCCACCTTATTTGTTCCACACATTTGGTTCTCTCGCAGAACTTCTATACATGTGCGCAGAGTCATTAATGACTGATTTATATTACCTGGTGGCGAGACACCAAGGAAATATGAAGATGAATTAGCTTTTACTGTTAAATACTGACAAGAAAAAAAAGACTTACCTGCTTCACGCAGACGGCTTCCCTCTGCTCTTGTTCGACTAGTGCGCTCGCTACCTGCTAGGTCAACCAAACACAGCTGGCTCACATTTACTTGGTTTTTGTCCTAAAATGAAAGTACAGATTTAATATCATCAGAAACATGATGGCTTGACATGACATATCTGCCTGCTTTTGTGTCACACCATCATTCGGTTGGACTGTAAAAGAGGAGATCTATAATGGTCATCTCTGTGAAGGAAAACTTGTTTTCAAGCTTGAATGCCGGTACATAACTCCCCAAGTAACTTTTGGAGCAGCACATTACCTGCAAAATGTGGTCGCCATCAGCATCAAGAGGTGCCTGAATCAGTTTTAATGTGAAGACACTGTGGGAACGACTGGATTCCCGGTTCAGTTGAGTGTTGGCAATCCTCCTTTTCTTTTGCCCTACAAGAAGTACTCAGTTACACATTTTGCAAAGCTCCACATATTTCCATCTACTCATGTGAACGATCTCATTATAGAAAGCACGGAAATAAGTTCAAACAATCACAGATTTTTCAAAAGTAATAATACAAAAATATATATATATTTTTTACAAGGTTTGTAATAACAAACATGTAATCAGTCTCTCGATGCCTTTTGAAAGTTTAATGGAATCATTTTTTTCTGATGTATGGGGGGGGGTTGTTGACAGCTGACTCAAGACTCAAGTAATCATCAAGGCAAAGGATGTTAGCAAGTTCTTCTCAATGACTGTCACTGTCTTCGTGTGCAATATATCACTCCTGGAAAATGGCAATTCAGAGCAAAACAAAAATAAACAACATCTGCATCTCAAAATGCATAGCCATAACCAACTCCAATGACAATACTTTGTGTGAATTTTGCTCATAACTTTTTTTTTTTTTTTAAACATCATCGTGTAAAGTCTGAAGGCCCAACTATCTTTGAATCATTTCTCAGCTATGTCAGTGATATAAAGTGATGCCAAGACTTGAGGTTAATTTGTTCCGTTATTGAGGTCATGACGCAACTTTTGTTGTAGCTCAGATTGCGAGTGAGATGCGGGATGCTCAACGGATGTCGTGGCGTTTGCTGCCGCCATCCAGTAGCGAGTACTGTATCTGAAGCACACTCCTATTAATTAAGTGGCCATTCATTTATATGTTTGACTAGTCTAATTTACGTGCATTGTTTGCATGTGCAGAGTGGCACAAGAAGGATCTCAGTTTTGTCTAATTTAATGTTTTTTTGTTTTTGGAGGGGGGCTGGGGGCGGGGGTTGCAGCCGAGAAATATATTTCATGAAAACCTTTCCTGTAATTATCACTTTGCTACTGCATTAGCATATGTTCGTGATGGAAAACAGCACATTCTGACTTCAGACAAATTCAGATTATATTGCTGCCATATTTCAATGTCCCCAAAAAATTGGAGATGCTTTCATCTTGACCCTGGTTTTCAGATCTCAAGTACTTTAAGAAGCAAACAAGAGTGGTTGTAAATTGTGTAACTTTCACAAGGAGTAATTGAGCCAATCTTCACTCACCCTTCCAGAAGACTTCAAATGCCTCCTCTGTAGATTTGACTTCAACTTCTGTGCAGCCGGCAACATACATGTTATGATTCTGATCTTCACGTAGAATCTTGGATTGAGGAGCTCTGAAGGATCCGAAAGCAAACATAATTAAGCACACAAAAACGCAGTGGCACAATGACAAATATTTGACAATGAAAGGTGAAAACATGCTAAAGTGTACACAGATACATTGCGTTACAGCCTCTTGCACACAGTCTCAACTCAACTCAGCTGTATTTATAGATCACTTTCAAACAGCCATCGCTCCACACAAAGTGCTGTACATGGAGCAACTAACATATACACCAGTAAAGCAACAAATCAGTAACAAAGACGGTAGAAAGCACTGAACAGCAAAACCAAGAACAAATCTGAGTCATGCTAAGTCAAATGCCAAAGAATACAAGTGAGTTTTGAGGCGGGTTTTAAAGATGGGCAGTCAAGCTAAAGCCATTCATTGAGGACTAAATACAATAACAGCTCAAAGCAGAGAGGGTAAGCCAGAATGAGAAAAACCTCGTAAACTGTTAATTGTACAACATCGCAAGCCTTATCCAGTGCATGAACAACAACCTCTGACAGATGACAAATAAGATCTACTCAGTGAAGCTAAGGCCACAAATGAAAACTTAAGGGGCATATATACCGTACATAAAATCAGTGTTCTTTAAAGGTGTGCCAATACCAAGCCACCTCACAAAAGAGAATGGCCTAGAAGTGACTGAAATTTACAGCAGAAAAAGGCTTCAATACTGTATACTGTATCTATTGTACATTATGTACATGGACTGTTTTGGAACATTAGCATGATGCAACAGAAATTGTAGACGAGGCGCTGCTCTTGTAAGCAGTGATGGCAATGGCGAGTGATGAAAAAAAGCGGAAAGGGGCGTGGCCTGGGCGGGGCGTGGTTACTTACAAAAGTGGCACTAAACATGCTGAAGATAAAGTGTATTGAATTTACACACTATTTGAAACTTGAACAGAAAAAAATCCCAAGATTGCCACTATTCTTTCAAGTGAAAATTTGTGCAATTTTGCTTATGCATTCCTGGTGAGCACCAATATGTAACTTCAAATTTGCTGCTCAAAATCAAAACTAAAAACGGAAACACATTCTCTGCATATTTAAGATTTGTTCATTACTTGTATTCATAAAGTGTTGTGTAAATGTGATAAAAAAGCTGTTGATTCTTACCTCATGCAGTGATAGTGAAGTCCCACACTGTTTACTATATATGGGTTATGAATGTATTTTATTATATAAAGTGGATGTCTATTTACAGTATATACAACAATATA